TTTCTAAACTATACATATATTTTTTTCAGTCTGAATTATTACAGATTATGGAAACTTTGGAAGAGAAAGAACCACCGGCCAGAAGATTCCAACCTAACCAGGTCTCTCCTTTCACTCTGAGGCCAACGGCCCCTGACGCAGGGTCGCAGGGTCGTCACTGACCCCGTGGGCCGGGCCCTGTCCCCTCCCCTCCCCTCGGGGTGCCACAGTCAGAGCCCACAGACACCCCCCCCCCGAGAAGAAGGAAACCAGCAGCTGGGAGAAGGGGACAAAGCCCTCAAGCCCAGCTCGCAGGGGAAGAGCGGGGGCCGTGCACCCTCCCAGGGGGCTCAGGACCCAGACCGGATGGTAGAGAACAGGGCGTCGTCTTCCCCTTCAAACCTTCCCCCCAAAAAGTGCAAAGATAGTCTTCTTTAATAGACATAATCAAATGTGCTGCGCTGTTGAAATGAGCCGTGAAAAGGTAACCTCTTCCACAAACAGCACCGGGGGGCCAAGCGTGTGGGACTTCGAGTTCTGCCGGCGCCAGAGGGCTGGGGAGCCACCGCCCGCGACCGGACAGGAATCCCTCCTGTCACCAGCCACTGCCAGGCCCTGCCACGCAGCAGGGCTAGGACAGTCGGGGGTGGTTCCTCCTTCCCACCGTCCGGGAGGGGGAGGAGGGGACCCGGGAAGGACGTGGAAGGGGACACCAGCCCCGGCGCCTTCCCCTGCCAGCCCCCCCTTCATCTGCACCGTGGTCTCCCGGGGGCTGAGAAAAGCCACTCTCGGCACGAGGAGGGGAAACCCCGGGCTCGGCAGGGGCAGGCCGGGCCCCACACAGGGAGCAGCTGGAGCAGCCCCAGCCTGAGAGAAGGAGGCTTCCGGGCTCTCGGAGCCGGGGGCTGCAGAGACCGTGGTCTCCCTGCCGCTCTACCGCTCCGGCGTGTTCTTAAAACCCCACGTGTCAAGTTCTGGCCTTGCCAAGTCACGTACAAACATTCACAAAACCATTTCACTGGAGTGGAACCTTGCAGGAACGTGTGCGGGACGTTCGCTCGGGGGACCTGGGCTGCTCCTTTACCACCTTCTGGGCTAGAAACTTCAAACGCACTTTGTCAGAGCCTCACCGGCCACCTCCGGGGTGGTCACTGGACTCCCCCGGAGCCAGGGAGGCCAAGGGGGCGTCAGCGTGGGCCTGGCCAGGGGCCTGCCGCCCCCACACTCGGAACCGCACCCGCCCCTGCAGATTCCCGCAAGCTGTCACCGAAATGACGGCTGTAACCGTAGGTAAGAACACTGTTTCTTGGAAGATGCCAGGTTAGAATGCGCTTGGGCTTCTGCTTGGAAAATCACTCTGAAAAGCTAACAGGCCCCAGGGCCCCCTGGACCCCAGGAGGAGGCCCCGGCCATGGGCCAGGCACCCAGCGTCTGCGCGGGACGCCCCAGTGAGCCGCAGTGACCACTGATACGCTTCTTTAGAAAAGGGCTTTTCTCCCATAAATGGAATGAGAACAAAAAATACTCTTCTCTAAGACGTAATAAATCTTTGATGAAAAAAAAATGACCTCCACCGAGATCAGGATTCACGCTTCCAAATCCCAGCCCCGGGGCTAGGGAGAGGACGGAGGCTGGAGGCTCAGGGCATAACTGGCGGCCGCGGTAACACGGGCAGCATCGTCCCACGCACAAGCCCACAGCCTCGTGTCCCGTCTTAGCAACTCAGAATCAGATGACGGAAGAGTTGCACGGTTGCCTTGGTAACCCAAGGGATTTAAGACTCCAACAAAAGTACACAGGCGAAATCACTTGTTGGATTCTAAAAACACCTTCTGCTCGACAAGCGCATTTAAAACATCCAACCCACAGGCCTAAGGAGCGCACTGTTTCCTAAACCTCGGTCGGCTCTCAGAAAGGCCTCCACACGTCACCTGCAGGTAGGTGACTTACGGGCCGCACAGGGAGGCGTCCTGGGACCGGACCGCGAACCCTGCAGCACATCTGTGAGCGTCAGAACGTTTCCCAGAAAGCCCTGTCACCCACCGGGGACGGCTGCTCGTCACGTTTTGGTAGGCGCTGTTGGGAGATTCCAAACAGTTACAAGCAGGAAGGCCACGGTCCTCCCTGCAGACCCTGAGCCGCTCCGCGTGGACGGCCGGCGGGGAAACGAGCAACTCTGGCAGCTCAGAAACGCAACGTCCTTCTGATTTGGTCCCTCAAACTCCAATAGTTCGCAGGGGTGGGGGACCCAGGGGACATCTGGCAATGTCTGGAGTCCTTTTTCATTGTCACCTTGGGGGGTGGGGGAGGTGCTGTAGCATCTCGTGGGGGGAGGCCAGGGCGCTGCCAACACCCCGAAGTGCCCAGGGGGGCCCAGCCCCGGTCGAGACACCCCAAGTTGCACCAACACTTACTTGACACCCAGAGTCTGGCCCTGCAGGAACATACGACACAGTCGGGAGGAGCAAGAAAAGCTACGGCTGGCGCGGGGAACAGCGGTTCCGCAGGTGGGGGAGGGGGGCGGGGATGTATCGTTTCACGGATACAGAGTTTCCGTTTGGGACAATGAGAAAGTTCTGGAAGCAGGCGGTAGGTGGGCGCAGGACAGCCTGAATGCAGTCACACACCCTGTTAACATACCACATTTTGGCCACCGAGGGACTGAATGTGGGAAGGTGGCCCCACGAGATTATAACTGAGCTGAAAACTCCTATCGCCTAATGACGTCGTAGCTGTCCTAAGTCCTAGCACAATTTCTAAAATAAATTCAGCGCAGCCTAGCGCACAGTGTCCGTAAAGTCCACGGCGGCGCAGGTGACGTCCGAGGCCTTCACGCTCAGTCTCCACTCACGGATCTGCCAGAGCAGCTCCAGGCACGGCCAGTGCTCTCCGCAGGGCACCGTTTTTCACATTTCTTGTCTTTTTTTTTTTTTGAGCGACAGGGTCTCGCTACATCACCCAGGCTGGTCTCGAACTCCTGAGCTCAGGTGATCCTCCCGCCTCCGCCTGCAGAGTAGCTGGGATTACAGGCAGGAGCCGCTGCCTTTTCTAAGTTTAGATGTGTTTAGATACAAAAATACTCACTGTGTGTTTTGATGTGTTCAGACACACAACGCCCCTGTGCTGCAGCTGCCTGCGGCACTCAGCGCCCACACGCTGGCCAGGTGTGCAGCCTAGAGCGGGAGGCTGCGCCGCGGGCCCAGGTGTGCGGCAGGTGCGCTAAGCTGGCGTGAGCGCACTCGCCTGTTCACACGGCGACAGAATGGCCTGACGACGCCTTTCTCGGAACGTGTCCCTGCCGTCGAGGAACGGCTGCGTTTGCTGCAGCGAACCGCACACCGACATGGTCAGAGTGGCGAAGTTCACGTCACGTAGGTTCCGCCACGATGACGAAAGCTGCGGCACACTGGGCTGGGCCTGCTGTCCGGCGTGGAGCTCTGGGGCTCCCTTCCTGCCCACTCGCCCCCAGCTTGACGACCCCCCGCTGAGGAGAGGAGGCCCCCCCCCTGCACCCAGCACACGGCACGTTCGGGACTGTGACACTTCCCAGGGCTGTGACGTCGCGGTTTGCTGTCTCCGGTGCCCTGCTCACTCCCGCGCCCCCAGGCTGATTCCTGCCCCACAGCTGGAGCCCAGTGTCAGCTCACAGGCACCGTCTGCGGGGACTCCAGATAGCCTTCCCTGACCCGGGACACAGCCTGGCGTCTGGGACAAAGTCCGCACTGTGCTGCCGGCAGGGGGAGATGCGAGCCCGTCCCCACGCGAGCTGCGATTATTGCTGCCCGCTGAGCACAGAATAGGCCTGGTACTCAGTGGACGTCTGATTGATTATTCGCCAGTCTGGGAGACAGACACAAAACTGTCACTCACGTCGCGAGGATCACCTTCGACAAAGCTGAGCTCAGAGCCCCTCGAAACTAATACCGTGAATTCCACGGGGGCCCAAGAAGAGACCCCCACATGGCGCAGCGACATTCGCGGCGATGAGAAAAAAGCTCCTGTCTGTTCGTCTGAACCTACACTTATTAGCAAACACGACACGCGCACCATCCCCCCCCCGCTGCGAGAGGCTGCTTTGCAGGAGAGCTTCCTCCGACAGTTACGTCTGTCCTCCCACATCCCGTGCGTCCCCCACCTCTGCCGACGGCCACCCCAGGTCAAGGCAGGCTGAGGTTCCAAGGACAAAACACATTCATGTGACGTTTCACAGCAACAGCCAGAACGAGTCTGTGTGGCGGGAGTCGTGCTCCCGGCGTGTCCCCACGTGCAAGGGAAAGCAGCCCCCGTGTGCCAACCTCAGCCCTGCCCAGGGGCGACGCGGCTCCCCCAGGTGTCACCCCACCCTGCCCCAGCCAGGTCCTCTCCAGCTCACGGGAGCCCTCAGGAGGCTCTGTGTGCAGGTGACACCAGTGCTGTGCTGACGGGGACAGACACGCGGGGGCTCCTACGGGGCCTGGAGCCGCCCAGGCCGGGGGGACACGTTGGTGGCACTCCCTGGGGTCACACCGATTTACTGTGGGAGGAGGGGACCACAGGAGGCCACCAGCGTGGGCCTGCAAATGCACCGCTCTGTCCACAGAGTGAACCGCCGTGAGGCCACCGGCACACGTGCACGGGGGCGGCTGCGCCTGCCTGTAACAAACAAAGGGCTTACTTGAGTCTCGGCTGCCGAAGGGCCACCCCGACGCTGGCAGGAAGGGGCAGCCCGGGGAGCTGGCCCGGCTGTCGTCCTCCACCTGCTGCGTGATGTGCCGGACGGTCTCTTTGTTCTTCCGGTTCTTCCTGCGGCCCGTGGGCTGCCAGCCGTCCCCGGCACCCTGCTCCGAGAAGGAGTTCTGCATCGCACCGTCCTTGGCGGAAGGCAGCTCGCTGCCCCCATACGGAGACGGCGAGATCTGCTCTTCCTTGATGCGCAAAGGCCCAAAGCCCACCTCTCCCGGCCACAGCGACTGCGAAGAGACGTCGTCGGGGCCGTCGGCCTTGGGCTCTTGGTCCTCCTTCCCGTAGCTGCTCCCCCCTTCGTGGCAGCTGGCGATGGCCGAGTCTCCGGAGGAGTTGGCGGGACTCGTTCGCCGAGCCAGCCACGGGGAGATGCTCCTTCCGGCCATCACGGCGGAGATCAGCGCCTCGGTGCTGCTGCCGGACGGGGCCCCCATCTCGAACTCCGCGAGCTCGTCGCAGGCGTCGGACTTGATGCTGATGTCCAGCGCGGCCTTGATGAAGTCGTGGCACGCCTGCACGATGTCCGTCATCTGCAGGAAGCTGGCGGCGGACATCACCTCGATGACGTTCCTGCTGGTGAGGGCCAGGTGGGCGGAGTACATGAAGTCGATGATGGCCTTGAAGCCCTGGGCCGTGACGATGTCCAGGTGGGTGACGGTGGCCTGGTCGGACGTCTTCTGCACCTGGCAGTAGAGCGTCTTGAAGTAGCGGCTGCTCCCGAGCAGGACGTTCTTGTGCGCCTTGAAGACCTTGCCCTCCACCACCACGCAGACGTCGCACAGGACGCCGTGCTGCCTCTGCTCGTTGAGCTCGCGGAGCAGGTGCCGGTAGTGGGACGCGATTTCCATATCTTCCTTTCGGTTGTTCATCGGGAAGTCTTGGTGCTGCCTCTTCTACGGCCTCTGTGGGGCGAGAACGCAAGAGTTACCCGCAGCTCAGCACAGGCAGGCAAAGTCGGGCAGAGCGAGGGCAGGGCCGCGCAGCCGCCACGGGGGACAGGCGGGCGGCGGGGAGAGGCGCGGCCGCGGGAGCCCACCCGCACGCCCTGGGCACAGGTGCGCGGAGGCGGTGCCTGGGCCTTCGCCTGCGGCAGCGCGGCACAGCCCCGGGAGGGCGCGGAAGTGCGTCCCTGAGGAGGGACACCCGCAGCAAGTTTCCCGGCTGCGGCTACACCCCGCCATGAACGGACTTGGGGTTCCGAGTGGGACCCTGCACACCAGCCGCCCGCACACCCAGAAGCAGTGGAAACACACCAGTGGTGGGAGTGACTTCCCCCAGTAACACGAGTCGGGGCCTGCATCCTTCTCACTTGGGGAGACGCCCCTTAAAAGGAGTGTTTGTGTAACTTCCCGCACAAAACCCGCGGGAGCAGGAAGGACGCGGTGCACACGCTCACAGCCTTACCCCTAAAACTTCCCAAAATCCTGAGCTCAAACCGGCTCGAAGCTCCCAGAGGGAGGCGATTCTGGCCGGGCCCCTGCCCACCCGGGGGCGGCGCGAGACCAGCTCAGCCCCGAGGGGTCTCGGTGCCCGTGGGACGTGCGAGGAGCAGAGAGAAGCTCCCGGCGACTCCCTCAGCACGGGACAGCCCAGTCCACAGAACCGGAGAGACCCGCACTCGCCCCGGCCTGGCGGCCTCTCCCTCGACTCAGGGGTCCCATTTTGCTTCTCACTCTGCTCTCGCCGCTGCCGCGGCCGCTTCCTGGGGCTGCCGTAGCGAAGCGCCACAGACTCGGCGGCTCCAACAACAGAAACTTGTTCTCCCTCGGTTCTGGACGGCAGAGGTCCGAGGCCGAGACAGCAGAGAGCCAAGGCAGGTGCTGTCCCCGGCCCTCGCCGGCGTCCGGGGGCCACCGCAGCCCTTCGCACCGCGTGGAGGCGCCGCCCCCGTCTCTGCCTCCGTCTTCAGTCCGCGCTCTCCCGCCTGCGTCTGCGTCCAGACTTCCCGCGTACGAGGACGGGGACGGCAGTGACACCGGGATCCAGGCCCAGCCCAGTGACCTCATCTTGACCAACAGCATCTGCAATGACCCTGCTTCCAAATAAGGCCACATTCTGAGGTTCTGGGGGTTGGACCTTCAGCAGATGAATTCTCGGGGGACACGGGCGCCCCACAGCACGAGGAAGACGAAGCTGCCAGGTCGCCCCGGCACAAACCCCACTTTTCCAGCTACGCAAGTAGCGCCGCTCACCTGAGATGCCAGAGAGTGTTTAACAGAAGAAAATTAACCTGGTCCTATGTAGGAATGTGCAAGCCCTTCCCCCACGGAGCCGCGCCGGGCACAGGCCGGGAGGGAAGCCGGGAACCCGGATTTTACTTCCTACACGTGTTGGACTTGTCACCACACGTGTGCCTGCAGTCATTACGAGGTATTTCCGAACATCCCCTGAAATCACCTTCACAAGGCCCTTGCGAGAAAAGTCACTGCGTTTCGTTAAACAAGCTGGGAAAACGAGGCAGAAAGGAGTAAAAGGCTTTCATTCCCTTCCTCCCCCCAGACCGCCAGGTTCCCAACCCCGGGCCCCCCCAGATGGGGACGGTCCCCAGCCTCCCTGCAGCCCTCGGTGCTGGCTCCGGGGTCCGGCCTTCCCTCTGCTGCCTCCTACGGGGGCAGGATGAGCATGGCGGCCGACCAATCACGTCACGCCCGGCCCCAAGACCCCGAGGACATCACACTAGCCAGTCCCTTCGCCGAGGCCGGGGGCCTCCTGCAGCCAAGCCCCTCCCTGCCCACCCCAGCCCCCGAATGCAGGCCGGGGCAAAGCCTGCCTCTGCCTCGCGCCAGCCTCGCTGTGCAGGCGAGAACCTGCCGG